TTTTTTTTCTTTTTCCCCCCCCCCCTTTCCCCCCCCCCCCCCCTTCTTTCTTCCTTCTTTTCGTTTATCTCCTTGAGGTATAACGAAGGATTTTTTTCTTTGTCCGACCTTTCCTTAGTCAGTTCATACGTCACTGCTGGGCGAGTCGGACGGACGCAAACACAAACACTCAACAAACAAACAGACTCAGAGGCCTCTGAATAGCACCACCAACACCAAGAGGAAGAAAAGAGGATGGGGCAGCAGCCTGGAAAGGAGAAGCGCCCGCAGGGCAAGTGGGAACCCCCTGTGGCAACCGATATTGGTAAGAAGAAGAAGCGGCACGGCCCTGACACTGCGGCAAAGATGCCTAAGATTTACCCCCTACGGGCGTGTCTTCTTAAGCAGCTTCGCCTAGAGCGCTGCAAGGACTATCTGCTGCTCGAAGGTGAACTTCTCAAGACGATCGGTGCACAACGTGAGGCGCAGGAAAACCTTGAGGAGAACGCCATGTCACACTATGAGGCGGAGCTTAACAAACTGGAGGCGCTGCGTGGCATTCCAATGGAGGTGGGCACACTTGAGGAAGTCATTGACGACACCCACGCCATTGTTTCTACCTCTGGTTCCGAGTACTATGTGCCGATGCTCTCCTTCGTCGATAAGGAGAAATTGGAGCTTGGCTGCAGTGTACTTCTGCACGACCGCTACCACAGCGTTGTGGGTGTGCTGGAGAGCAACACGGATCCGCTCGTGAGCGTCATGAAAGTGGAGAAGGCGCCACAGGAGACGTACGCTGATATTGGTGGCCTCGAGGACCAAATCCAGGAGATCAAGGAGGCAGTCGAGTTCCCGCTCTCGCACCCTGAGCTCTACGACGAGGTTGGTGTAAAGCCGCCCAAGGGCGTTATTCTCTATGGTGTCCCTGGTACCGGCAAGACACTCCTTGCAAAGGCGGTGGCAAACCAAACGAGCGCGACGTTCCTGCGCGTTGTGGGCTCGGAGCTCATTCAGAAGTACTCCGGCGACGGCCCGAAACTGGTGCGCGAGCTGTTCCGTGTTGCCGAGGAGAACAGTCCGTCTATCGTCTTCATTGACGAGATTGACGCCATTGGAACGAAGCGGTACGACACGGACAGCAGCGGTGCGAAGGAGGTTCAACGCACTATGTTAGAGCTTCTAACGCAGCTTGATGGGTTCGACAGCTGCAATGACGTGAAGGTTATCATGGCGACAAACCGCATTGAGACACTTGACCCCGCCCTCATCCGCCCGGGTCGTATCGACAGGAAGATTGAGTTCCCGTTTCCTGACGAGAAAACAAAGAAGATGATTTTTGAGATCCACACCAGTCGCATGTCATTAGCCGATGATGTTGATATTTCTGAGTTTATCCACGCGAAGGATGAGATGAGCGGTGCGGACATCAAGGCCATCTGCACCGAGGCCGGCCTGCTTGCGCTGCGCGACCGCCGCATGAAAGTCTGTCAGGCGGACTTCGTCAAGGGGAAGGAGAATGTGCAGTACCGTAAGGACAAGAGCAGCTTCTCGAAGTTCTACCTGTAGAATAGGAGAAGGAAAACACTGAAACGAAGGAACAGCAAGAGGGGGAGGGGNAGCTTCTCGAAGTTCTACCTGTAGAATAGGAGAAGGAAAACACTGAAACGAAGGAACAGCAAGAGGGGGAGGGGCAAACTACGGAACACAGCACAGAGAGGAGACGAAGGAGGAAAATGAAGGCAAGGGAGACGGCATGAGGAAATGCGCCCGCTGGTATCTGGTGCTCTGTGAGAGTAGTTTGCGGCAGCCGCACACACACGAGAAACGAATGTGGATGAAAGAGTTGAGGAGCAGAAGGGGGGAGGGGAAATGAACGGAACGACACAAGACGAAACAATTTTTTTTTTTTTCGTTTTTGGAAAGTAGTGTTGGTGTCGAAGTTGACGCGGGTGTAGAGAGACGGGCGTCACCCCCGTCTTTCTTCTTTCCCTCCCTCCCTCCCTCCTTCTCTCTCGCTTTTCCCCCCTCTTGATGTGTATTCGTGCACTCTTGTGTGTCTGTGGGGTGGGGGGCGAGAGAGAGAGAGGGCGGCAAGACGCTCGAGAAGAGGGCGCGTCCCGTCTGGTGTGACCACCACGCCGCAGACGGGGCAATGCGAAAAAAATCCCCTTCCCTCCCAACCCCCTTTCGCTCCCTCCTGCCGCAGCCACACGGCATCCAGTTGCTGCTTGTCGCCGTGAATGCAAAAAAAAAAAGATACCAGCTACAACCTCACTGTGAGGAAGGGATGCACGCAGACCTTCACTGACACACACGCCCACACTACCTCATATATATATATATATATATATATATATANTATATATACGTATGTATATTGTTCTTTTTTGTCTTGCTTCTTTCTTGGTTTTCGCAGTAATACTGATGGCTGAAGGGAAGGTCACAACGGAGCCCTCATTCCGCGCCGAGTTAGCTAGACAGAGGAGTGGGAACTCTATCCAACGTTCCGGGGGGAGAGAAAGCAAACTGGGTGCGACGCCTTCGTCCACGGCGGCCTACCACAACTACATCAAGCAAATGACATCTGCAGCGGCCTCCTCCAGTGGCGTCCACTCTGAGTGGGAGGACTCACGGAAGTTTAAGATGGCGTGGGATGAAAGTATTCACACGCCACCGGGAATGCTGGAGTGTGTCGCGTCTGGCTACACGTCACACGCGGACTACGTCGAGATTGGTGAGACGCTCAAGAAGATCTGCGACCAGCTGACGAGCATGAACGGCGTTGCTGGCTCCTCAAGGAGAGAAAGTAACGCAACGACAACCGTTTCGGCCCGTGACGGCGCACTTGCGTGCTTTCTAAGATTCGCAGCCGAGTATATGCCGCACCTGCATTCCCTCGTGAAGGTGGCGCCGTCCTCAATGAGGATTGAATGCGTCATGTACAATGCCGCCGGATTCCCGCGTGATGCGTTTGATGTCTGCATCTCGCAGTCTGTCCTGGAGGATATGTGCGCGAGGCTCGACGATGTTTTTCATGAGCCGATGACTGAGAGTGTTGCGCGTATGCGGGGCTGCTTCGATGTTCTTCCTCTCAGCATCATCAGCATCAAGAAAAATTACTTTAGTGTTTCCGAGGCAATCTTGGCGCCGTATACAGCCCGACTGGCAGAGAATTGCCGCAATGTGGAGTTCTTTGTGCCCTTCAAGGAACGGGTGCGCATGCTGCGATACGGCGCGAGCTTTCACAGCACTGAGGAAATGCGGCTTTCGATACAGTCAATCTCCTCCCTCGTCTCGGACATGCTCTCCTGCCTCTCCCTCCGTGTTATTCTTCACGTTGCACGCCGGCTTCGTGGGGTACAGGAGCAGAAAGAAGGTGCGAGAGTGCAAAGCAGCAGAAAGAGTCCATTGCTAGGTCTTGAGGAACGTGTGGCTGAACTTTGTGTGGAATACGAAAATCTAGTGGAGGGCTTCAATAACTGTAGGCGCCTTTACCCACACGTGTTTGCACTTGATGCCTACCTTGTTCAGTGGTCCAAGTCCGAGTCGCGGCCGCCCACACTTGCCATTATGACGAATATTCTGCTGAAGCTGCTGTTTCTTTTCGCTGGGGGCACAAGAAGCATCGCGGCAGATGATCGGCAACCTCCCGAGCAGCTTGGAGAGAGTCTCTGGTCGCACTCCTCTTCAGTCGATCACGAATCAAGATATGCGTCAAGGCGTCACACCGGCTTCCAGAATGCGAGGAACATATTGACGGACGATGTAGCCTTGGCATCAGACCTGCGTGTGCAGTCCATTGGGTGGACTACAATAATAATAAAGCTTTTCACTACATACTGGGAAGTGCAAGATAAGAAGGTCTCATCGGAGACTGCGGCGGACGCTCAACTGTGTGCAAATGTACTTAAAATAGTATATCAGTATATGGGTGTCCTTCCGTTCGGGGCATTTTGCCCCAGTAGCATGTTAAAGTGGATAGATATCTTTCCACTTTATACGCTGGGGGAGGAAGAGATGCGTACTATGCTAAAGCTGTACTGTCGTATTGCTGAACGTGAAACACATGTGTTGCGTTCCATTGACCGCACGGACATTTTCAGATCGCTCACGTGCGCCATGCAAAATATTGAGGAATGCCTCGGGAAACGCCCCAAAACGAGGATTGTTTCGGACTTCATAGTGCCAGTATTTACGGATGAGCCAACGCAAGAATACAGTGAGTTGGAGCGGCGGCGACACTGTGGCGTGCTATACGACCTATTCGCCTCAGAGTGCATGTCAGCGGCCAAGCCACTGATTGATATCACGGGGTGCGTCAAGCTGCAGTTAAAGGAGCGGCTGTTGAAGGAGGTGTCTCCCGCTCTTCTTTTGAGGGTGAAGGCTTCACTCTCCGCTGCGAGCATGCAAAGCAACGCCAACAAGGTAGGAACCATACTTCGATGGAAGTCCGTCTCCGCTGCTAGAGAGCTCCAAGAAGGTGATGTGCTGGAGGTGCAGATTCTACTCATGACGAAGAATAAGTCGCATAAGAACATCGCTTTGAATCATTTTTCCAGGCGTTGTGAAAGTGGCGTGTCCTTCACAGGTCAGATGGACCCCCAGCTGCAGAAGGTGCAGACCTGCCCCTTGGCCAAAGTTGTCGCGGCGGCTGGTGATTCACGAAGCAACGAGGGGGTCACCACCTCCAAGCTGGACTTCAGGTGGACCATTGCTTGGGTGCACAGAATCCAGCCTAATGAGTACATGGTGATTTTCGATGCGGAGGAAAAAATACCCTCACGGCATGTTGTGACAAGTGTCAAACTGGTGACACTCACTGTGCCGCTTTTTCTCGCGCACGGCCCGAAAGGGTTTTCGTGGACGAATCCCAAATATTCCCGCAACCTTGAGAATTCCCTGTCGCGTGTAATCCCGTTTATGCTTGGGTGGTTTTTGGGAAGCTCTGTTGCAAACGATGTGTATCTGCAAATACCCATTTCCCCGCTGGTCTTACGCATGGTGGCGCGTGCGTTGAACTTCAACGAGCAGATCAAAGATTGGCACCCACAACCAGCAGACTTGCTTCTTATTTCTCAAGAGTTCTACGCGAAACTTGGGGATTTGGAGAAGGGAAATACTCGTGATATTTTTGACCATTTTGTGCGCAGTGAACGCCGAGCCAACCCGTCACGCATGGTGGCCGCGATAGTGCGCCGTGCGTGCTTCTCCCTTATTATGAACCTCAACGATGACGTGGAAACATCCTTTATTTTTTGGGAGGCGGTGGTGCGTGGAGTTCAGTGCACGCCGCTTGGCCAAAGCCCTCTGTTGAGCCGATGCTGCGCTCGTGTGGCGCGGAGCGTGCTGTGCGGCCAGTCGATGGGCGAGGAGTATGCCTCAAAGGATTTTTTCTGGGAAAACCATTTCGTCTTTGTGTGCGATGCGGAGTTGTCCCAACAGCCGTACGCAGAGGGTCTGCGTGATGCCGTTGTAGGATGCCTGAATGAGAACTTCATCGGAGAACGTGCGCGGTCCATGCTAATGTTCCTGACGGGGCGGCCGCTGTTGCCCCCAACGCCGCTGACAGAGTGCATCACTCTCTCCTTCGGCCCGCGCGAGGGAAGCAGTTCGCAGAACACCGTGCTTCAGATGATGCCCGTTTTGTGGCCGAAGCACCACGTGCTATGTATTTCACAGCGCATGGAATTGCTGCTGGTTCACCCGCACGGTGCCAGTGACAAGGGTGCGGCGGAACCCGCAAAGACATGGCTTGACCTCTCTCCATCTCAGCAGTCCGCACGCCTGGTGTCGTTCGGCAATGAGATGAGTAGGCAACTCCATGCTGCAGTGGACGCCGTAGTGAAGGATGGTGACATTAGCTCCATGCAGAGTTTGGGGATGCGGTCACACGTGGCGAGGCCACATAGAGGCCAATTCGCACCGCTTCCTGATATAGTTGACACGGGTAGCGCAGGATGTGAGAGCACTGGGACCAACGAGACATTGAGCATTGAGCGCACAGCAAATAGTAAATCGCCATTGTTAAAAAACGTGTCAAGTCCGGCTGCCAGTACGTTGAGCAATACGCCATGCGTCGGTGTGAGTTCAGTGGAAGACACCAGTGGAGAAGACAACGTCAGCCTCCCTATTGTGGGGGAGATAATGAGGCACGACAGCGGCATCCCAATTGTAATTGTATCCAAGCCACCACGGTTTGTGCTGCCCAGACTTGTTTGACCAGCTGCTCTGAACTGGGTGCTGTCTGCGGTTGCATAGTTGACAATGGGCTGTTAGAATGACCCAAGTAATCATGTGGTTCACGTCAATCCGTGAGATAATGTGCGCAGGCGAAAGCTAGCATTGGTAGAGTAAGGTAGCAACTTCCCATGTGGCCGCAGATAAGTGGATGCGGTGAAGGTGATGTTCTTTCGTACACAATGTGTATTATGTTTGCCCAAAGGCTCACTGGTATGCGTCTCTGTGCGAGACAAGTTATATAGGAACTTGACGAGCAGATAGCTGGCAAGTATACGATGGGAAAAGATGAAAGGACAAAAAAAAACGTAGAATCAATTCCCTTCGCTGTTGTTGTTGTTGTTGTTTTTTTCTTCTGTTTCTCTGCTGTTTTTTTTTTTTT